TCCTCAAGCACCGCTTGCGCCGCCGCCCGGTGATCTGGCAAGCTTGGTCACGACCACCTCCACACCGGCGGTATGTGGCCCTCGGCCGGCTGTTCCCACGACCGCCATGGAGGAGGCCGCTCGCTCAATAACCTCCGCGGGCGTGGGAGCCACCATGGGCGCGCCGGTCGGGTTAGCGCAGCCCGACGTCGGCACCACTCTGCCCAAGCAGGGGTGACTCGAGCGACGCCGTCTATCCCGCTTGAAGGCGAGACTCTTCTTGGGCGTCGGCCCGTGGGTGACCCGTCCGCAGAACCTACACAAAGGTAATAACCATTAAGTCAAAATAAAATTGGAGAAAGGATGAAAAGCAGAGGAATCAATAGCTTACGTTGGCGTCCTCGGCGGCGGAAGCGTTTTGGGGATGGATCCCGGATCCCCTATACGACTCATCCGGGCGGGACCGTTTCACGCCCCCCCCCCGCCCGGGGGGGTTCATCTCGTCGGGCGCGGCACCGAAGCCGTCCCCTTCCATCGTCTCACGGGGTGCAGCACCGGAGCTGCTCCCCTCCATCGTCGCCTCGAGAATGGCGGCGGCAGGTCCACCCCCCCCATCCACCGGTCCTCGGCCGACACGCCATGCGAAGCGGCTGACTCGCCGGCCTCCACTGACCTCATCGATCTACTTCCCTCCGCGTGGAAAGCGAAGGGCCCCTGCACGGATGGGTGGCCACTTGTCAGCGTGTCCTCGTCCTCCAGGACGTCCCAATCCACGCCGACGGCTACCTCGTCGTCGTCGTCATCATCATCGTCATCGTCCTCGTCCTCACTGCTCATGTCCTCTCCCCGATCCCATGCCTCCTGCTTCAGTCGTTTCGCCTTCTTCATCTCTTCCCTTGCTTTCTTGTCCCGCTCGGCCGCGAGTCGATTCGCCGCCACCACGACCTTGTCCTTCGGCAGTGGAACTGGGCTGTCCTTAAAGACCAGCACCCTCGACTGGTCCCAACGTCATAAAGCAAGTGTTAAAAAATGGAGATCCAGGAAAAAAGAAAAGAGCACGGGAGAGGAGAACTACTTAATTCAAAGAATCCGAGCTCCGGCCGCATTGGGGGTGTCCGGGCACCGGATACACAATGTCGAGAGGACCGCCTGCGAGAATCGCCGTTGGCTCCGTCGCCTCCTTGATGCACTGCGCCATTTCCGAGTAAGGGAGAGCCTCGTCTACAAGCACCGTCCCCTCGAGCGATATCCCGGGCATCATCCGATGCAGGGGAAGCACACGCGCCATCAGAGGCGCTACCCTCCTAGCGTGGTAGGCACCGATAATCTCTGTCCCCTTTACACCCCGACCCTTCAAGGCTTGGAGGGCGGAAAGAAGGTCGGAGATGTGTTTCTTGTCTTTTTATGAGGCGCTGACCCCACGACTCGAAGCGTCCACAATAAGGCGTCAATGTACTTCGGTAGGGTGGCACTCGCGTCATCCCTAACGTAAAACCACTACGAGTGCCATCCCTTGTTGTATGTCGCCAGACGCATGTATGGGTAACCCTTCGATCGGGTATGGCGCAGATGAATGCTGGCACACCCCATCGACGCGTTCACGTCTTTCCCCCCAATCTTCCTCTTTGACAGACTAATGGTAAAGAAATACCGCCACAGATCAAAATGGGGATCGATCCCTAGGAAACCCTCGCACAGGGCAACAAATGCTACCATGTGCTGAATCCCATTGGGAGTTAGATGTTGCAGCTCTACCTCATAGTAATCCAACAGCCCCCGAAGGAATCTATGCTGTGGTACTCGAATCCCGCTCATGGAAGATGGCAAAGAGAGGCGACATACCCTTCAGGCGGCACCGGCTCACCCTCGTCGCCAGGTAGCAACCACTCCTGGACGGCGGACAGTGGGCGGAGAAGGCCACGACGGACGAGGCCCTCCAGACGTCGGGAGGTGATGCTTGATCTGCCCCACAACTCCGTTAAAGCAGTAGGGGGAAAGGGCAGGCGCGAGCTTGACGGCGGCTGGAACACGAACGCAGGCCGGTCGACGGTGGCGATGCGGGCGCGAGAGGCTAGGACGATTGGCGGTGGATGTTTCAGAACGCAAAGGCAGGGGAGCGAAATACGGAACCTTGGGGGCGAACCCCGTGGTTTTATAGGGGGCGACGGACGCGAGAAGGGCAACCGTTCGCCTCGATCTCCGGGCCTGCCACGCGCGCCACCGCGTCACGTCGCGGGACACGTGCCCGCAGTCCTTATCCTCTCACCCCAAAAATCCCAGCGGACGGATCGCCTTCCCCAGGCGAATCCGGACTCTCTACCCACCTGGAAACGCAAGCCACAAAGGCCTGTTTCTTTTCTCTTTGGCCCACCTAGGGCCCAAAAGCTCGTGGCCGGCCCAACTAAGAAAGGATCCGCGGACGATCCGAAATCAAGGGCAAAAGCACAAGTTAGGTCAGCCCCGAATCAGTTCCCAGCGAACGGGATACCACGACCCATTCGGAAAATGTCCAGTTGACAAAAAATTAAGTCCTTCAGCTTTGCCCGCGAAGGGACCGATATAACCCCCCGGGCGACTCTACTCAAATCACCCGGGGGCTCGAGGGCTACACCCATCGGGTGCGCTCGCGCGCACCCTCTGACAAAGTAACCTCGATGAAATCAAAAAACACCCTCCAGGCGGTTCTACTCGAATCACCTAGAGGCTCGGGGGCTATTGTCGGGGACCTAATCTGGGGTACCCGGAAGGTGGAACCAATAACCACCGTGACGTTAAAAACACGACGCAAGGCGTTGCTTCACCCCTCACGAGATTGGTGGGAGCTTGGTTCCACCTCGCCTTGAGCGCCTTTGGGGTGGGCTCGGTCTCGCCGAGGGGCCTGGGGCTAGTCTCCGTCTTGCCCGACGCCTTTAAGGCGGGCTCGGTCTCGGCCGAGGGTGAGGATAGACTCCGCCTCGCCTGACCCGGAGGAGCGGACTCGGTCTCGCCCGAGGGCTGAGGATAGACTCCGCCTCGCTTGACCCCCGGAGGAGGAGCGAGGTCGGTCTCGCCCAAGAGATAGGGATTGGTCTCTTCGCCGGCCGGCAAGAAACAAGCCTCACTCTGCTCCATATCTAAAGATTGGATTCATCTTACCCGACCACTCCTCCTGTTCCTTCAAGATGATAGAGACAGGGCAAGACACGACGTTCAGTCAACCGTGGCTCCAAGAGCCATACCACCGCACCTGGCGGGGGAAAAGCTTTGCCCGGGGATGACGGGACAGGCGCTTTAGGCCCTTTCGGCGCCCGCAGAGAGCCGAAAGGTGTCCACAGTGTGAGCTCTCCACCCCTCAGAGTTGTAGGCGCCGCCTTCAGCTCTGGGACTGAACCCCGAGCGAAGATGTACGACAACCACTACGCTCCGAAAAAGGATCTGCAATCTCCACGAGCAGCGGATATTCCGTCACCACGCTGGTGGACCCAAGGGGCGGCGCGCCCGCTTCCCGACCCCTCAGGTCCACCAAGACAGAAGACCTTAGCCACGGCGCTACTCTAGACCCGACCCGTCCCTCCGAGCGAAGACTCATAGGAACGGTAAGGCGTGCGGAGCAAAGGGTGGGGAGGCTCAAAAGTCAAAACCATCATCTGCGGCCCATACCTGCGCGAGGTAGCATTCTGTAACCCAACGACATTCTGAGGGACATCAGCAGATTATAGTCGCTTATCTTCCTTCGCACTCATCGGAATGAAGAACCGGGCCGGGTAGAGCGTGAGCCACAAGACTAAGTAGAGTACGCATCCTAAAGCCCTCACCCTTGTAAAGCTAGCCCCTTTATTTATAAAAGGGGATGCGCTTCCTCCATAAAGAGGAGGAGAAAAAAGAGATCGAACGAGACGACTCTCAGATACGCACAGTCAAGTTGGGTCGAACCTCTTGACATCCCTTCAACCCTTCCATCAGAGACTTGGGACCAGTCCCTCTCTCGATCGTTTGTACCCCTTACTGCAAACCGTTCACGGTGCTAATAACACGAGCAGCAACAAACTGGACGTAGGGACTTTCGGTCTGAACCAGTATAAATCTTGTGTCCTTTAGCGCACCATCCGAGCCTAACGCGCATTACTATAAATTTACTTGCCGGTGCTTGTACGAAACACCGACATTAGTATTGTAGCACTTATGGCTAATCATGGATTAATTAGTCTTAAAATATTCGTCTCGCGATTTCCAACCAAACTGTGCAATTAATTTTTTTGTCTATATTTAATACTCTATGCATGTGCTGTAAGATTCGATGTGATAATTTGGGGTGAAAATTTTTTGGAACTAAACCAGGCCTGGCTAAAGACTCACAAACTTTAGTAAAGTTTAGAAATAAACTTAGAATTAATGGCAATATTAAGAACTAAGCTTACTAGAAGACAGCCGCCAAGAGAAGAAGAGACGTTGAATCGAAATACTTAAGTTGACAAGCTGGGAACAATCTAAAAGCTTGAAATTGACCCCTCACGGACTCACCACATCAGAATCAGACCACACATGCACATGCGGCCTTCGCAAGTTGGTACAGAGACGGATGGATCGAAGACAAAAAAAAAGGTACAAACTGAGGATCAAACCACGAGCATATCATCATATATACTGCATGTATAGTAGACCATAAACAAGCATTGTTGTTCACGGTCCCAAAGGTGCAATCCCCACAAACATCTCCCACCCGTGTGTCCGGATCCGGGGGTTGCTAGCTACAACGTAACAACAAAAGTTACACGACACCACTCCCCTGCAGCTAGCCCTAGAATAATCAGCCTTGCAGGTTTTTCTTTTTCCTTAACCCAATGCTACAATCACCGGTGCAGAAAATAAATAGCTTAAATCCTATGATGATCAGAGAAGGAAAGGCCTAAGCGGGTGCTAATTAACAAGCAGCCTCGGAATGGCGGGAGCCTCCGCTTTACAACAACGAGGAGGGGTTCCTTCTCTGAAGTCTGAATGCAAATCGGTTCTCGTCGCGGATCGATCGGAGTCGGAGAGGCTAGCTAGAACTGGGCGCCCTCGAAGGTCTGGCCGAACTGCCAGCCGGCCGGCGCGACGTCGTTGCTGGTGACGGTGCGGCCGTCGCTGGCGGTGACCTGGAAGGAGAGGCTCTGGCCGTCGAGGAGCGAGTTGCTCTGCCAGTTCTGGCCCCAGTTCCGGGACATGGGCTGCCACCCGGTGCTGGAGCCCTTGATGGAGACGGACTGCACGTCCCCGGCGCCGGCCACGTTGGTCACCAGCACCAGGTTGAAGTAGGAGTGGCCGTTGATGGTGAACCGGATCCCGCCCTTCTTCACGCACGGCACCCTGCAGCAGGTAGCAGATGGTACAAGGAGTGCAAAAGGTGATCGTCAGTGAAACTGCAACAAGTTCAAGCAGCAGCGGCACATGGCATGCCTATGCATGAGAGCAGAAGTGTTACTATTGCTGAGCGTCACGTTTGCAACTTGCACAAATCGTTATCAAAACTAAAGGTCGTATAACAACTAACATGGAAGCTCATAATGGTCAGTGTGACGCCTAATCTACTCGGAAACAGCATGGTCAAGTCGCAGTCGTGCATGCATGGCGCACGGAAGAAGACGAACAATCAACAAAAAAAAATAGCAGATAATAATCTGCCGGCTGGGCCACGAAACATGGTCTGAAGAACCGACACCCGCACGGCCACACAACACAAGTCTCTGGAACCGGGCGCAAACAGTACTGAGAACTCTCGAAACCGAGGAAATATATCTCACCTCCTGTAGGCGACGGGCACGATGCCGGCGCGGTACTGCGCGATCTGGAGGAAGGCCGGCTGTGCCATGTCGAAGTGCGGGCGCGGCGGGTTGCACCAGCCGCCGTCGTCGCTGGGGAGGCCGTAGTTGGGCGGGCAGAAGTTGGTGGCCGTCACGGTGATGGTGCCCGGCAGGCACCACTGCCCGTCGTTGTCGCAGCGCAGCTCGTAGCAGGACCCGCACGCGGCGCCGTCGTTGAACAGCGCCGTGCTCAGCGCCGCCGTGTTCGTGCCGTACCCCGTGCTGTACATGTTCCCGTAGCCGCACGCGCCGCCTGCCAGATCGACGAGCGCAGCATGTACAGCAACGTCAGTTCCAAGTTCCAAACGGAGCCTAGCAGTTAGCCCGATCGTTCGTGGTGGAGGACTCACCCATTGTGCCGGACGCGTCGCCGCCGCCGTAGAACGTGGCGTGGGCGCTCTGCCACGCGCCGTAGTCGCCGGCCGCCAGGTGGGCAAGGAAGCAGAAGGTTGAGCAGAGCAGGAGGAGCAGGACATTGGCAGCTGCTGCCATTGTAGCACACAACACACTGAGTCGTCACTGACTCTCCTCGACTCGAGCTAGCTGATTAGGAATCGAGAGTTGCTTGGCTGTGAAGGGAGTGGGGCGCAGAGGCCAGGTACTTATAGGCGGCCAACAACGGTCAGTGCTCCCGGCCGTTGGAATCGTTAATAACTTTCGTGGAGGGGCATGCAGGGAATTCGTCGAGACAAAAGGAGATAAAGGGAGGTGGGGACTGGGTGCTACACCCCGCCGACCACGATCGCCCCGGTACACGACGGCGGTTAGCACATACGAATCAGGCGCACATGCAAGTTGCTCGTCGCGCGCAAGTAGCGGGCGCCAACTGCTCGTGCGTGTACAGGACCGGACAGGCCCAGCGCCCAGCGTGCATGCCCACATGGCTCTCGCGAGACTGCAAGCCATGGGTCTGGGCTTATTTGGCTAGTCGTGGCAATGCAAGAAATAATGTGTGGTAGATAGATATGTTATGTACATCCACCAGGACGCTGCCCATGTGTTGATCGAGAAATCATCGCGTATTCTCCTAGACCTGGATTGCCGTGAGTCCCGGCCGACGGCCGTGCTCCCAGTTGCATACCTGCATGATGCATGACCTGTCTGTCTAGTGGATTCATGTGTGTGATGCTGATGCCCGCACGTCAGTACAATAGCTTATATATGTTGTGCATGGTTTCTTCGTGCCAAGACGTATAGCTAGGTCAAAGGTAACACGATCGAAATCGAACAGATTGTTCACTGCATCAGCGTTCACCAAGTCAGCTATGAAATGCTCACTGCGACTACTATGCGCCGGTTTTCTTTATCCTGCATCAATGCAATTTGGTTAGCGATGCTCGATCAAGTTGCGTGTAGAGTACGGCGAATGCGAACCAACCAAATCATTCAAGCGCTGCACATGCTCTGCAGGGATCGGATGCCTTCGTCCCTTTCCAACGGTGGCGGTGAAAGCTCCCTGAGATATTCGAAACTTGCGTTCTTCAGTTAAGCGCTTTTAGCTGCATCTTCAAGAAAAAACTGCTAGCCATTCGATTTCTGAAAGGATTTACCTGTTTGTCTGTTCTGACGGGCTGCAATCTGAGGGAGCGGTTAAACTGGATGTCGATCGAAAAAAAGGCGTAATCTTGACTACCATTCGTCGCGGGTGTAGTATGGACACTAGCAACTAGTAGCACAGCCGTTTATAGCACCGGAATCTTCAGGCAGTAGATGCATAAACAACTACCATTTCCTACCAAATATTCAGTACTCCGTGCGATACATTGCCCATCCCAATGATTAGTTCAGAGCCATCTCTGTTCGTCGGCGCGTGAAGAAAGGCTCATCACATGCTTGCATGAGCCTGGACATGGCCACGTAGGTAGGGCGTAGGTGGAGCACGCAGAGTTGCTAGTTTATAAACCCAACTCTTCAGACAAGCCTGCAGGTACACTGCATGCGCACGCAGGCAAGTCCAAGATTGCGTCTGATCCGACTGAGGCCTCCTTTAGTTCAAAAAGTTTTTCCAAAAAAATGCTACAGTAGTCATCATATCGAATCTTGCGATTAGTGCACAGAGCATTAAATGTAGACGGAAAAAAAAACTAATTACACAGTTTAGTGGAAAATCGCGAGACAAACGTTTTGAGCCTAATTAGTCCATAATTGAACATTAATTACTAAATAAAAACGAAAATACTACAGTAGTAGCTAAATTCCCAAATTTCATGCGACTAAACAAGCCATGACGCGAGGAGCAGATCGAGTCGCTCCCGCGATCTGCACCATTAGGCTCCTGGACAGGTGTCTGCAGCAGCGCATGTCTTGCTTGGCCAGTCTCCCTCTCCCGGAGGCCGGAGCTGCTTACTGCTCAGACATGGAGCTGCCAAAATGAACGGAACGTACAAGCTCACCCAATGTCAGAGACATTTGCCATGCTTTCTGGCTGCTTTTAGCTTCAGCATCTTTTTTCTCCGGGCACCAACCAAAACGTGACGTGCTTCATGTCCATGCCCCCGTGTACCTTCATCGTACTCCCTCTGTCCCGTAACGAAAGACGTTGTAGCAAATGTAGCATTCGCTATAATTCGTTGCATGATTTCTAAACTAATAAATTCAACAAGTACTGATTTATAGTAAGATCAAAAATATTATATAGGCTAAAACGAACAATCGAACGGGCTATAAAGACCTGGCTACCCAAAACTTTATCATTACGTTACTGTGTATTTGAGTTGACATGCTCATTTAATGCTGTGCTTGCTCTCACGTCACACACAGCAAACCATCCACTGGACCAACTTTTCACATCTCGCAATGCACCTCCCATGCATGTGTCTTCCACCAGAGGACAACGATTTGACAGGTGAGTGATGGAGTAGGGTGTATGTGCAAAGCTATAACGTTAAGGCCCCGTTTAGATGCAACCTCCATGCATGTGTAAAAGGACAAAATTTTTAAGATTCTTAACGTTAACATGTTTAGTTTCAGCCAAAAGTTACTTATAATAGCCATCACATCGAATAACGTGTGCATAGAGTATTTTTTACACAGTTTGTGGAAAAAAAAAAAGTCTTCTACAATAATAAAAAGTTTAAAAATTTCGGAACTAAACACGCCCTAAATATTTTGAGACATCATTCGAATGCTAAAATGTCATGTATTCTGGGATGGAGGGAGCACAGACACAACGGTTGACGCATCAAGTTCTCCGCAAGCATTGAGAATTCAGACGTTTCTCCTTTTTCAGAACACGGGAACAGTGAATCTTCAGGTGAAGAACACACACACATTTACGCGAGACAACAGAGTTCATCGAGGTTAGCTTTCCTGTCATGCTCTGAGCCTTTAAAACATGATAATAGACATCGTAACATGCGTTGGCTAGCTAGCTTCACGCTTTCGAAAAGCAACAGTCTCCCGGCCCGGGGGGCCTGATGAACCATCCCTTTCGTGTCCCCACGCCATGTTAGTTGCACATGGGAGGGTTGGCCTGCAGGCTACCTAGTGTGGCCTGTGGCCACCCGGAGATCACGGCCAGGTCCCTGCCATTAGCGCTGATCCTGCCCGATCCGCCTTTTCTTGGAAGCATTCTACGGGTCGGCTGGTATTAAAACCGGTTGAAGTTGATTTTTTATGAGAGAAAAAATACTATATATTTTAATTGATAAGTCGGCTGATAAGTTTAAGCGAACAGGCCCTCAAAAACGGCTTCCGTTCGTATGGCTTTCGTTCGGCTGGCTAAAAAAACGGCTGATGCTGATGTTGATACTGATTTGTCGTGAGAGAAAAATAATGTTATTTCACTGAAACGGTACGGTTGATAAGTTGAAACCAATAGAGCCATTGTTAGTTTTTTTTTCTGACGAGAGGGTCAGGCTGTGCTTACCTTCTGATTCACTTTTGTCGTCTGTCGCCTTCTAAAATTAACAGGGGACGTTAGCTGGAGTTAACTCAGTTACTCTTGCAGTTGCAAATACAGATAACAGATGCTGATTGTTTTACTGTCGCTAGGTACCAACAAGAATACGCAAATGCGTATCCATGTTCATGCATATTATATACTCCAAACTAGTAGCATGGACACAAAAATGTACTATTTCAGTAGTTTCTCTTTATGTCCCTCGAAAAAAAACGGCTTATCTTTATTCTGTAGATAGATAGAGAAAAGTACAAAAACAGGATGGAGCTGTTCACGTCCGGGCAGTGATGGCTGCACGAGGGAGTGAGAGGGGAAGCCATGTGGGGAGCACGCCAAAAATAAATCACAAAATCGTCCCACGACAGCGACCGGAGCTCCGAAACTCGTCAGGTCGCCCCGGCCCCGGCCCGCACGAAAAGAGATTTCTCTGAATCCGGGACTGGGAGAACGCAACAACCTGCCTACTATTTCTGTACTAGAGAGAATCCCATAGCAGGACTAACTTTCGATTCATTCTGACCGCTGGGATCAAGATCGAACACTCGTTCTCTTTTCTTCTACCTCCGCTCCATTGTTGTTCACTGCGGCTGTGTTCGGCTGGGAAAGAAGTGACACTTTTTGAGGTGAATTCGGAACTAATTTTATCCTCCTCTCGATTCAGACCATCGGGATCAAGATCGAACACTTTTCTCATAACATTCCATCATAAAACTGTAGCTGTGTTTTTGGGAAAGAAGTCGGCTTGTTCAATATATAATCCATACCAGCGTGTTTTTCTTTCACAACATTTTTCGGATAAAAGCAGTGCAGATGAGCGGTCTCATACAGAACAGCACTACGGTCTCGGACGGAGCTCAGCGGCCGTGGAGCTCCAAAGAAGACCCAACCGCCATGCGCGACCTTCTTCTTCCCCTCCCCCTCCCACGCGCCGCCATGACCATGGGCACCCCCTACCCCCCGCCCGCTCCCCCGACCTGGTCCGGCCGCCTCGTACATCGCCGGAACCCTTATTGTCGCCCTCCCGCCGTTCCCACTGCTTGGCCGCCCTGTCTCCCCTAAGCCCCTTGTAAGCCCGCCGGAGTTGGAGAATAAGAGAGGGAGAGAAAGAGAAGAAGATAAGCAGCCTCCTGCTAAGCTGGTGATGTCGTGGCAGAACAGGCGGTTGGCGGCTCAGAGCTTCTCCCGAGTACTTGCTTCCAAACGATGAGAGGTGCTGATCATGTATCATATGGGCTACACCAAGTGTCCATGAGCGCCATCCGCGTCGGAACTCGAGGCCTTTGACAAGCTCTTCGACGACGACCTTACTGCGTTCAACGCCGAGGCGTTGGACGCGCTCTTTCCGGCCGTTGGAAAGAGCTCGTCCAGGCAGCCGCGAAGATGTAAGGCCACCTCCTAGGTTGCATCGCTGCGTCAGTATTAGTTGTTTTCTTTTATGTAATATCAAAACAAGAGGTTTTTTGCTAGGATTGTCCAGCGTGTTAGGTTGACCTCCTTCGGCGCTCGATAGAAGCGCGTTGTATGTTTGCTTAAACTCTTCTACTTAATGCAATGATACGTAAATTTTTTGCGTATTGAGAAAAAAAAAGAA